ATAGATGTGAGGAGGGTGGGGGTGGGGGTGAAGAACGAAGGGACTGGGGGTCCCCCGGCGTGGAAGGTTCAGAGTTGGTTTGGGAGCGGACATGGCCGAGTTTCAGGACGAGGCGACGAGGAGCAAATGCGTGGGGGCTGATCGCCCCTCATGGACGCTGCGGCAACGCACGACTCGTGCATGTGGGGGCCAAAGCGGTCCAAAACACCGCGGGGGCGCCGCTGAGTCTCCCCCCTAACCTCCTGCACGTGCCGGCCCCCGAGCGCGTGATGGCGCCCCACACTCTCGAAAACCCCCACACTAGACCAAGCATCAATTTTGAATTTGAATCCTGCCGCCCACGTCTCCCAGGCGCTGCTCCACGAAGTCTATGCGCGTGTTGCAGACGCGATGCCTGCGGGTGTGAAAGGATGGCATCTGGTCGGGGTTTGAGGCAGGGCTGGGGGCGACGCATCACCTTTGCTGCAAATGATGTTTTCAGCCAGCCCTTTGTGGCGAACGAAATCTGCAGAGCTGCTGCAACCATCGGCATGTGCGCCAGCGCGGTAAAGGGGTGCCCGGCTGGCATGCCTCCACGCGAGGGAAGCAGGGGGCGCTGCTGCGCCCTGGGGAGGGCTCTGCCCAAAGAGGATGTCCTCTTGAGGCGGCGGCGGAAGGTTGGGGGACGCGTGCGCCGCTTCGCCCACCTGTACACCAGCTCGCACCACTCCCCCCGCATGTCCCACCACACCACCCTCGCGGCCAGCCACTTGGCCACGTACTCCATCCCGTGGCGCAGCGCCTGCGGGGCGGACATTTTGCTGAGATTCAGCGGCCGGAAGCGCCTGGAGGCGCTTTGAAGCTCCTGTGGACGCTTTGAAAGCGTCTGTCAGGGGCCCTGCTTTTGGTGGTCCTGGAGGCTCCCAACTCATTGAGACGGCGCTCGGGCGAACAGTGCCCTGAGCATCACATGCTTCACGGGCGCTGAGCGCTGTGGCGCCTTGCTTGCTGCCGCATCGGAGCCTAAAGTATTAGAGCGGCACGCGTGACAGCTGCCGACCAATTCCCGCACCGCGCCACACACCTGCGACGCGCCCTCCAGCAGGCTGCCCAGCAGCTCCGCCGCAGCACCGCCCGCGCCCGCGCCTGCGCCCGGCCCCGCGCCGCCGCCGCCGCCGCCTCTCAAGAGGCTCTCGGTGAAGGCGCCCGACGGCCCGCTCGCGCCGCCCCTGCCGCCGGCGCCGCTGTCCGTCGGACCAAAAGGGTTGGCCGCGCCGGCGCCCCTCGCCCCTCCCGCCGGGCTGCCTCCCAAGAACGGGTTGTCCCCGCCGCGGCCCTGCGCGGGCGAGCTGCCCGGCTGGAAGGGGTTCGCGCCGCCCCCGCCCGATGAGCCGGCGGTGCTGCCGCCGCGCGAGTGGCCGCCCCTGGCCCCGCCGTTGGCCGCGCCGCCGCCGCTGCCTGTGATACCGCCGCCGTCGTCGCCGTTGGAGGGGGCCCTGCTGCCGACGGCCAGCCGCGAGGCGTCCTGCCACCTCTGGCCGACAGATAGCGCCATGGGCTGCGGTCAGACGGGAGGAGATAAATGATTGTGTCAGCAGGGATCGCACATTTGAAGCAGCCCAGGCGACAGCTGAAGTTGGTCGTTGCACTCATCTAACATTATACTATCGAATAATTGTAGCTCACGCAAACTTGACATTCAAAAAGCTCCACAGATCTGATGGCTGGCGGCTGCAAGCTGCATGCTGACAATGCCTCCCAGACCTCCGGTGATCAAGCAATTAGCACAGGAACAACGCGCGGCCTGCGCCGGTAACTGCATGGCGTCCACTATGACATCACAGGGAGGCGTTTCCCAGCGGCACCCCCTTATGACTGCTGCTACGTCCGCGCGGCCCGCTTCCGGTTGCACACGCACAAAGCCCGTCACGCCCTACATCCCTGGTGCCCACACGCCACCCAGCAACGCCACCCTCGACGCGCCTGCAGGGTGGCCTCCAGGTAACCCAGTGACGCCAGCATGACAGCCACCGCCTCCGGAGTGAGGGCCCCCACCTCGCGGAAAGAGGGCCTGGGGTGGGGTTGTGTGGCGAGCAAGGCGCAGAAAAATAGATGCTTTGCTGGGATAAGTTGCGGGTTCTAGCACATTAGCTGGAGAAGCCGCGCGTGTGGTGTGCAAGTGTGTGCGTCCGAACGTGCGCCAATGAGGGCAATTAAACACGTGTGGTGCGCGCGTCAGGCGGCCAGGCGTGGCGACTCCAAATTTATGCAGGCCAAGAACAGCTTGCCCTACCATCTTAAAACCCTGCAGCCCCGCTGAAAGAACGCGCGCTCCCGCCCCGCCGGTGAGCGACACACGGCCCGCTGGGAAACAACAACTCCAGGGAACAACAAGGGTCGCAGAGCCGAGGCTGCTCACTCCGCCTCGATGCGCGGCACCGAGTCCAGCCACCTCTTGCTGCCGGCCGGCGGCAGCCGGGTGGGCAGGCCCGGGAGCGCTGACTCAGCATCCTCCTGCTTC